ACAATTTGGCCCTTAATAGCATGTTTTAACTTGGTCAGCCCTGAAGTGGTTGGGCAGCTGGACTAGATGATCATTGTAGGTCCCTTCTAGCTGAAATAATCTGTTCTACTCTGTTGTGAGGAAGCCTGACCAGTTTGCAGCCAGCAAATATGAAAATGTAATTTAATGGAAACAGAAACCCTTAGATTTTAGGTATTTTAAAAAAAATGAAAGTTAAAGCCAAATTCAGAATGTATAAGGGCCTTGAGCAGGGCAGTCAGATCCCTTTTTTCGTTGGTGGTTTTACAGAAGACAGGTTTTATGTCTTTTACTCTTGAGCACCCTTACCACTTAAGAGAGTCGAGATTAATTTGTTTTAGCTGTGGAAGACTTGCGGAATCAGTTCATCCTAACAGCATGTTTTTTCCAGTGCATCTACATGGATCAAGACTTGAAGCAAGAAGCTAGCAATAATAAGAAAATGAGGATTTACAAGAAAGAGGGATATCAAGCATGTCATGAATGTGGGCTCCGACCTCCCTGTCTGCTGGGGTTGGACCATGAAGAGTGCAGGCTTACGTTCTTTTGGGCAAGTAGTCCCCTCTGTTTCCCAACTCAAGTTATTCTTTGGTCTCAGTAGTTGAGCTTCCATCTGCCATAGCTGTTTTTTTGGCTGAGGTGGCTGAGGCCAGACAAGACTTAATCCATACAAGACTGATTTCTTCCTGCCTGAGCATAGAAACCTCTTCAACATACACTGTTGGACCCTTACGAGGAGAAATGAATTAATCTGATCCTTAGAGGGTTATGATACCTGGAAGCAAAATGAAGGATGGCAGCAGTAGAACAGGAAGAGTGGAAAACATGCATCTCCAGAGAACCAAATGAATGATAGAGGGCTAGTAGCTATTCTTGGAAGATTATTATCTTCAGTTGCCCTGCGGTACATCAACTAACTAAATAAATGCTACAACCATATCCTGCAGATAGTGGGCTGAAGATGAAATCTGCAAGAACCCATCAGTGTTATTGTCTAAGGTCCTAACCTTTTGTTTTGGTTCCATTCAGTACCTATTGTATCTCCGCTTTTCAGTTTCTGTCTCACTTTCATGACACTTGCAACCTAGGTAATTCCCTGTCCTCTTGGCCAAGTTGAATTCAGCTTCTAAACTAAGAACAAATGGTAACTGATATTAATCTCAGTTGCCTCAGGACTAGATCAATTTCAAGAGTTAGAAATTGTATCGATCTAATATGGTATTATATCTGAAACAAACAAATCCCAGCTGAAGCTGTTCAAGCTTTTTTGTTACTAAATGAAACATGAACCTTAAATCATTTGTGCAGTTTCCATGTGTGTTGATAAATGTTTGGAGCATTAGTGTGCTTGCTGTCTCTGGGGCTTTCACCAATCACAGTGGCATGTAGCTGTACTTTGGCACTAACCTGATGTCATCTGGAATTACGATGTACAGGTGGGAATCTAACCTGCATGGGGCCGAATGTAGGGTTTGTTTTGCTGTGGTGGTAGTTTTCACTATCTCAAGATGCACACGTGCTGACATGACTAGTTAAAAGAGACTCTAAGATGATATTAAGATCGCTCGATAAAAACAGTAAGAAATAGGCTTTTATGATAATCAGGAAGTAATAGATAAATGTGTCATATAATCTAGGGTAGGTTGAGAAGCAAATCTAGAACTACAGAATTTTGGGGAGAAAATATTCTGTCTTTGTGACAGATACCAACAGATAGTAGGAAAAGCTGTTAATTCTGCTTTCTGTCATGTTAAAAGGAACTGCCATGTTGAAGTCTTCCTGCCAACAGTTTTTCTTTTTGATTTCTGTCAAGCTGCCCTAATGAAAAAACAGTGTTGAAGAATATTCCTACCAAATCTAAGTTGCTCACATTAAAATCTGCCATTGATTAACAAATGCTTGTCAGAAGCTGGAAATTGCTAGCAAGTAACCTGAATTTAATGCAAATATGACATTTTACTGGAAAGTGAAACAATTTTGCAGATCATAGTAATATTTTGTATTTGTGTGAAAATAAACATATCTATTGATGAAAAGAATGTTGGGTAACAAAGATCATAACCTGATGGATAAATCTTTTATTTTAAGAAATAAATGTTCTGGTTCATTTGAAATATGTAAACTTTCAGCTCTCTACTGATTTATTCTCTAAATTAAATGATTTTAGCAAAAATTAAAAAATACTTTAATGCTATAGCATCTGACCTCTGCATGTTTTCCAGTGGTTCGCTGCTGCACCTGCATGAATGTCTTTTAAGTAACTTAAATAATTCTATGATCAACGTACCTTATTTTTATTGCAAAAAAAAAAAAAGTAGAATGTTTTTACTGTGGCTCAGAGATGAATCACAGCTGTGAAGAAGACTGATACATTGTCCTAAAATTTCTCCTACATAATCCTTCCAATTTACCCTCTGTAGACAGACTTTTTAGCTTACAGACCATGGTCTTAGGTAGAGATATCTGATTTCTGTTGCAACCAGTTAAAAGGATCAGCTTCTGACCTCTAGTGTTTTGAATGTTGCAAGAGGAAGTTACAGCATGTCTTCTCTGTGAAAAGTATGTTTGTAGAAAATGACAATGCAGGGTTCCTTTTTTGTGCTAAATGCATTTTTGTGAATTGTCAGCTCTACAAAATCTGTACTTCTGAAAGGAAAACTGAAACTTACTTGCCCTTCACTAATAAAGAGGATCTTGCAAGCCAGGCTTACGGCCTACAGTTAGCTTGAGCTGACTGGAGCTAGAGTCAGTTTTTCCATGAGCAAATATACATGTCAAATTATTCTGTGATATCTGCATTAACTTTATGGTGTTGCTTATGGATAAAAAGTAACAATAAACCCACTCAAATATAATGAAAGTGTGTAACTCCCATTATGGTATACTCTGTGTGGTATACACTAACAGCTTTCAGCTATTTTGTGTAATGCCAAACTTAAGCTACTAAATGTTATGGCTTCTACAATTCATTTATACTGACTTAACTTAGGAATGCCTGTTTCGTGTCCTCTTGTGCACCCAGTTTGCATATAAGCTCAGCTGTGTATTACACTTCCATTTTTAAAAGGGCTATGTCACATATCTTTTGCTTATGGTAAAACCTTGTTTCACTCTTGCTTTTTGGTACTATAGTGTACAGTCACAGAGAAATTGAGAGTCCACAGAACAGGAGGCCTAAATGGAAAAGCCCGCATTTCAAACAGAGGGAAAAGTCTTAGGCAAGCATTTCTCCCATATATTCCTGCTACCACAAGAGATCGGGTCATTCTTATTGTCTGGAATCTTAGTTTCTGAAAGCGATTAAGCTTTTTCTATATACAGATGTAAACAGCATTATTTTTAGTCTACAGGTTATGTTGCTTCTGTGTTGGTTTCTCCAATACCAATAGTCATCCTTGTAAAGAGAGATGATGGGTTTGTGTTTTGGGGGTTTTTTTTAACCTATTTAGGCCAGGAACAATTAGTAATGTAATATTAATTTTTTTTTGTGTGTGAATTTGAGACATAGATTGCATTAAAAACTAGGTTCAATATGGAATTATGCACTGAAGGATCTTGTGCCTCCATGTTGCAGATTCTGTGAATTAATAGTGAATATGACAAAGTTATTTTTTGAGTGATATTGTAATGCGTACCTTGCAGCTAGAAAAACAAAGTCTGAAATTAGAGAAATTGCTCTGATACTGCCAACACTGACAGTGCTCAAGGTTGTTCTCTTCATGCAGCAAAAGGGTTTGGAAAGTGGTATATTGTTCCTCCCCATAATGTCCTGGTACACTTCTGTCCTGGTGTTGCTATTTCAGAGGGATGTTTTAAGAGACATTAAAGCTTTTTGTCCTGTCTTTTGAGGAAAAAATAATACCTTTCATTCTAAAAGGTATTTAATTTCTGTTTGCAAATGACTTTGAACTTGCTTGTTGAAATGAACTGTTTGTTTTCTTAAAGTAAACTAAAACTTCAACAAAATGAGCTACAGGTAGAAAAACCCGATACTTCCATTATATTAGTATTTCTGTAATTAATTGGTTGTATGTGATTTACAGTCAAGGTAAAGATTTACATAAAATCAAGGTGCTTCTGTCCTCTAAAGCTGGTGGCTGCTTAAAAAATTACTCAGCTGGAAAAAAACCCAAAACAATGAACTATGCTGCTCTTGACTTACTAGTAGCAAACTGAAGACATGGGCTGCCTTCTCCATCAAGGGTGATTATTTATCTCAGATCTGCCAAGTTTGGTTCAGGCACCTTAGGATTCTCTTTAGAGACAAGCTGAAAGTTAGTATTGCAGGCATTCAAGTGCAGATGACACCTTCTTGAGCATCTTGAAATTTAGGAGCTGCATTTGGTTGACAAATGAGGGAAATCTCACGTTCTTCATCTCTAGCTTTTTTTACCTGCCAATTACCTCTCATAGCACTGGTGCTAGGGGACATACTTCTCTTCACTTATGCTCTCTGAAATTCCTGTATTTTACAATATATTTAGGGGATAAAAAAGCTTGTCATATGTAGTGTTTCCCAGCACATGTCCTACAATGCAAAGAAAGAGCATGTTTTGTTTACTTGTCACTTGGAGACAAAAGGGAGTTTCTTGTAACTAAATGAAAACTTCACATTAGTGGAAATAATGTACACCAAGATACGTTCCATATATTGATAGTGTTCTGAAGGGATGCTTTACTAAATTGCATATGCAACCTCATGTACATTGGATGTGAATTCCACCTTTGAAGTTCTGTTAACTCTTCATGCTCCTCCATAGAATCCTGCCTGTACTACTATGGTTAGCATTGAGAGGGTCAACTTGGTCTGAGCTACTGACACCCCTAGACACCTGCTGTAACTTCAACCAGATGAAAAGTGCTGGATGGTGTCTGTGAATAGCCTCTCTTCATGACAAAAATATGCAGACACTTAAAATAAGATTTTTAATATTCTGTTTTTGTGAGTAATTTGAGTAAGATTCTTTTTTTAACCAAAACAGAAAGAAGAAGGAAAAATTCAAGGGCAGCTTAATAAATCTGATTCTAACCAGTACATCAGAGAACTGAAAGATCAGATAGCTGAGCTGCATCATGAGGTAAGTTATAAAATGTTACTGTCTCCGATCACTTGCACCTTTTGCCCTATTTTTCATTTGTAACAGGTTTTGCTTATCTAATAGTTATTAGTTTCAGTACCTGATTTTTGCCAGCATATGTTATTTTAAATGAATGCAATAAATCTAAGTCTTATACATGAATCTTACCCTTATCCTGGGATGTAAGAGAACAAAAAATTGCTTAGTTACATGATTTGACATTAAATGAGGTCAGCATTTATGTTCCATCTTGGTTTTTTCCTTAATTTCATGAGTTGATCATATTTTACTGTGTTGCATTTACTGCATTTGAAGCTGTGTGCATGAAAGTAAGTCTCTTTATGTCTTTATTTGCTACAACTTTTAAGACTAATTTAGTTAATAACTAAACTGTATTTGTGCAAGTAGAAGAGTCCATGTGTAGATTTTTTTGATTCTTGCTGTTGTGAGGGTGCATTTTACATGGTAGTTTACTGAGATTGCTTAAAAAGAAAAAGGATGCTTGCTTAATATCAGTTAACAGATTTTTAAGTTTTAAACTGCCAAAACCTTCAACCTATGAAATTTCTGTCTCCAAACTTCCTTGCTCTCATAGTTGTAGTAACTTTCTGTTAGTCAAAAAGATCAGAAGGTCCTGAAACTGAAGTGGCTTATGTAACTACTGTGCTCACTGGCTCATTTCAGTTTATCCTGCATTGTGAAGAAATGTCTTTACCTAATACTACACTGTGTGCAAAATGTCCAATCATCTTTGCATTGTAGTCTGCTTCTGTTTCCATACAACTTTCTAATACATAGCTCTGATACTGTTGCTTAAAACCTAAGTATCGTAAAGCAATACAACTTAATTATGTTTGTTGCCTTTTTGGTTTATGTTAAACAAACACATCCCTTTATTTAAGTGTAGGTAGTGTTTTCATAACAATCTTAGTGGATTCAACCTTTTAAGACCAATCCCTTGAGAGTTATAATATAGTGGAGGATCTTGGAATGCTGTCTGTGCTATAGATTGAGGATAGTCTCGAGGGCATCATCAGTCCAGCACCTTTACCAATCCTTAAGCTCACTTAAAAACAAATTTAAAAATCAGTAACCTGTCTTTTTCTATTAAAGGACTATAACTAGTTTGCTTTGTTCCTTATGAGAAAGTAAGTTGCTTGCAAAATTCCTAGAAACCCAGGTACTTTGCATATTTTGCATCATGAATAAATAAGGCACTGTACTGACTTTTTCCTCTGCTCAGTGTGGGTTTAAAAGGTAAGAAACCACTGCTTTGGAGGAAAAGTAGAATAACTGTTAGAAAGCTGTTGCATAATTTTCTCTATACAAGCATTTGTCATATGCCTTGCTTAGCAACTCAATTCTCATGAAGTCATACAACTGTGTATATGTTTATTGTGTATAAGTTAATGTGAACAGGTTGGAATGAAGTTGAGGTTTGTTAGCTTACTGAACGATGGTAATTCCAAGTAATACCGGTGATTCCTAAACAGTTAAGTCTAGACAAATCTTTATTAGATTTCAATTTGACTGATTGATTAATTCCATCTAGAAGAGCACCCCTCTTCCAGATGTGTGCCTTGTTATGGCTTAATTTTTGATTTCCAAACTAGGTAAACACTATAGGAACAAAGAATGAAACTATATGTAGTAAACATGTTCTGCCTTGGCAGCATTTCTGAATGCTTCCTTACACAGAGTTTCTTAAAGCCTGAAAGTCCTTGTTTGCTAAGGATATTTTTTTTTTCTCCTTACTGTTATACATCTGTTTGTCTAGCTTTTAAATAAAAACTTTGGAGGGAAAGTAATATGTCATACACAATCCTTTACTTGGAGCATAACCCACTACGCTGATTTTGAGATAATGTAAGGTTAAGTCTGAATTGTATGTAGCATTTATAGGTAAGCTGGTGCTAATAAATAAAGTCTTGGAGTAATATAGCTGCTAAGTAAAGAACTTTGCTCACAGTGTTTCCTGAAACAGCAAAATCTGCATAAAATGGCAATAGAAATAGGCAAAAAGGTTTGCCTTCAACCGCTAAATGTTAGGATTAGTATAATCTAGTCAATACCAATTAAATAAACCAACTGCTTCAGATCTGCACTGAAGTGTCTTCGTGTGTAGATCCATTAATGACAATGTTATTTGCTTTTGGCTAGCTCCTTTTTGATTCTACTTCTGCAAAAGCTAAAAGAAACGTTACGAATTTGCAAATTCATCTTCCTGAAGATAGAGTGATGGTGTATGTGACATACTGACCACAACCTCCCAACTGGTTAACATGTAAAAGTCACTGGTAAAGGAACAGAGTTCTTGGTGACTGCATGGTTACCATCTAATATATTGTAAGTGTGGAACTTTAAACTGGGCATAAATTAATGCAGAAGTTATAGTTTAAAGTAGGGGTGGGATGAGTGTGTGTGAAACAGACTAAATGTCTTGGCATGGCCATCAATGTTGATTCTACTTATGCAACATTTTTTTCTTTTCAGTGCTGCATTTTTACAGGAGTTTACATCAGAAGAATTGCAGATTGTCCATCTGAAGGATGGAACAAAGTAATGAACAAGTCCTATATTGAATATAAGTAACTGCAAACTAAGTCCATATCCTGGCCTTCTGATAAACACTGTTTCATGTCTTTGGCCAGCAATCTGAATGCATATGTTCCTGTATCAGTGGAACCTGGAAGCGCTAGATACTTTAATTCTATCCTTTGGTATGATCCATCAGATGGCAGTGGTACCAAGATGTGGAAACAGCACATTTCATACTAACTGCAGAGTTCCAGTGAAAGGTCTACTGTTCCATCAGTGTTTGCAAGCCAGGCTAGTAGCCAGGGAGAGAGCAAACCTGGAAAACCAGTAAGGAACACCAGAGAATAGCAAAGAGAGGGTCACTGTTGCTGCCTGGGGTTGAAAGCTGAATCCTCTCCACTAAAAGGGTGGGCTGTGGTGTGTGTGTCACTCTGACACAGGTGCAGCAGGCTGCTGCTATGACACCTCTTGACTTTGTAGTGGAGGAAAGTTTGACCCTCAGATTTCAAGTATTTCTCTCACCTGTTCCAGTGTAGTAACTTAAATCAGCTACATATCAGAACTCTGCATATAATTTCAGATTATTGATTTCATTTCATACAAGTTGTTTATACTTTTAAAAACTTCCAGCCTATTGCCCTTTGTTGTAACCAGAGTCCATTGTTTAATTTCGGTCTTTCTTTTCTGAGCTCAAAATTTTGCATGTGTCTTAAATATGGTGCAGCTTGCAGCCTGAAGGATAAATTTCAGCTGCTTTTATTACTCATCTATGAATAGTAATGCTACAGTCAGCCTTCAAATCATATTATAAGAAGACTTATTTGTAGTAAATTCAAGTTGTGTTCCCATTACTGAGTAAAACTGCACATACTGGAAATTGGTAGTATGGCATCCAAAACTGAACCAATGAGCACACTGTTATTAAATGTACAAGGTAGATTAAATAGAAAAAGATGATGCCTTCTGTCTTACCTTTTAAATAAGGTAAAATAACTATAGATGGAATTATTATATTTGATTTTTGGTTTGACTTGGAGCCAGGGGACATTTGAGAAGCTTCTCACATGGGGCCACTGCTGTAGCCCCCTCCCGCACTACCAAAAACCCCCACCACTGACAGAAATCCACCACATCTAACAAGATACCTACCTGATTCCTTTTATACCTAACCAGTGGATTTCCACAGCATGGTAAGCTGAATTGTATATTGACCGCTCCACAGTAGGTCTTAACCGTGTATTTGATGAACGCTTCATGAGAGCAAACAGACAAAATCTGGAGCTTTGAGAACATTGTAACAAGAGTTGTGTTGTAGACTTCTGCTCTACGCACACCATATTAGATTTACTCACATGTAGCTTGCACTCTACACTAACTTGAGTAACCAAATATGGGTTAGAACAAAAATACTGAATATCATTTATATTACCGTGTAAAATGCTGAATTCATACTTAAATTCCTCATTGCAACCATAACTTCACTCAGAGTTCATATACACGTAGATCAATTATTAACTTGCAATTTTAGCTTTAGTATGTCAGTTGCTTTTACATTCATTCTGTAGAAAGTTACTGACAGCTATCCTTTAATCTCTTACACAACCTATCAACATTCGCAGAATAGCTGGTACCTAATGAAAGGACACTCAGACTGCAGTACTTCTAGTTAGCCAATAGCTAATCCTGTGACAGGCTGTGTGTAATTAGTGTCAGATTAGTGCTGCACTTCCTTTCCTCTTTATTGGGCACAAAGTTGTTTGATACTTACGCCTTATGTCTTTATTGTTGAAGGCTGAAACTAGTGCGAAAACCTGAAACTTTGAGGATTGTCACAAACAGGAAGTCATGACCTAAACTTCTTTCAGAGCTTTTAATATGCACTATACTTAGACACTTGGCTTGCCTTTTCAGAAATTCACGTTCTGTTGCCATTTATTCTTTTCATTTATTGAAATCTTTCCACCTAGCATTTTCTTTCTTCCTCCATTTTCCTTCCATTCTTAGAGCTATCTCTACAGCATTCTTGACTACTTTTAGCTTATTAGGATTTTAACCTAGAATGATTTACCACTGTGCAGCCCTGACAGGCTGAAGCTTCCATGAATCAACTTTGGTACTCTTGTCAGTACATACACAAGCTTAGTTGCCCTGTCTTAAGCACAAGAGAAATAAGGTGTGGTGAGCACTATACTCTCACTTGATCTTACACTTTATGCGCTTTAACTGATGTAACATAAATGGCATGAGTATACAGGCACTGCAAGATTAGTACCTACAGTTACACACTCTTAGGCTGGACAAGGACTGCTAGTACTTTGTAGAAGTTGCCTTTGGTTAGAGGTGAAGTGTTAAGTGAAAGCAACTTTGCGAAACATTTTTACTATTCAAGAGAGTATCCCACTTCAGTAGGTAGTACTGAAGTAAAGCAGTTAGTGTATGTGGAAAAGAGTATTGTAGAAAGT